CTAAATAACCCGAATATTGAAACCCCCGATGAATTCGCCGACTCAGAACCATCCCCATCCAATAATTTTCATAACTCTTCTAATTTTTCTCAACCCCCTTTTCAACCCATATTATCCAATAACCCTGACCCAATTACTCCCACACCCTCTTATGCTTCCCAAGTTACCCCAACCTATTCCTCATACCATTCTGACCAATCATCTCATTCTCCAGACACCCCCCGAATCTCCCCAGAGCTAGATAATTTTATTACCCTTCAACAACAACCCTACCACCTTAATACCCCAACCATAAATCAAATCTCCTCCACAATAAATTCATCCAACCCCCCTACCCCTACACCCTCTTCAACTTATACTGAATCACTAGCACCATCATCCACATCAACTGAATCTTCACTCAACACTAATAGAGCTTACCGCACTTTTAAAAGAAAGTTCCCCAACCATCCTTTCCCAGCAAAAACAGGAACAGCCCGTGAATACATCAACCACCCCAAGCATACTAACACAAAAGAATTTTTAGCCATCACCTTACCCTCATTCCCACAATACACCTTAAACACCCCCCACGACACTAACGAAACACGCAACTTCGTAGATGAATACGTTTTAATGCCCACTCTCTCTTGGACCTCATATTATCATTTCACTAACCCTCTTTGCTTACCATTATCTAACACTCACATCGATATAGAGCGAAATACAGACATGCTATATCGACTCACTACACCACTAACACCTAGACAATTTACTTACGTTGGATATAAAAAATCACTAAAAACACACACTGCACCTAGAGCTAACGAATATACACTCGAATACTATGATCACAACATCATCAGAGCTAACCAAGATCAATTCTTAGACGACGATCGCTTCGCTAATCCACAAATTACCGAGAAATTTTTCATCAAGACACCATATACATTCACACTAAACATCTTCGACCGAAAGTTTGATCACATTATTTCAGAAGCACTAACAGACACACAAGCATACGAAAGTTTTAAAGAACGCTTCCAAATATTTTCACTAACCTTTCATTTCCTTGCACCACACGAAAGAGATTTACACTGCTCACACGATATTATGTTGCGCACTAAACAAACCCACACATATAGTTATTATCGTTTCATCCAAAATCACTTTGACCTACACACACCCTCTAGACAACCACACCATCGTTTTCAATTCATTAATTCCAAATACACTTCACCATTTTTCCTAAATTTCACATATTGTATTAAAGACACTAACCTCCATGGTATTCTTCGTAATTATGACCCCATAACCCAAATGTACATCTTCTGTCCCATTACCAAGACCTTCAACGCCGAAGAATCCCGACCCTTCCTTATCCCGCACGAGTTTGTACAACCCATAGAAATCCCAATTTTAGAATTCATCCACAACACTAAATTCAATCACAAATTATATAATCTAATCCAAAACACACCTTATGAGTTTGCAGTTGGCACTGAAGAACTAACCACTATCAAGGCACTTCAATTGCTTTGGCCACTGCTTCAAACTAAAAATATCATCCGCATCTTAGCTAAACTACTAACAACTTCAGAACTAATTCACGACATCTTCCCCCACGGTTTTTTCCCCGACGACTAACAGGTAAGTATGAATTAAATGAATATTACTAACTAATTAAAATATTAAAAAACTCACCATACTTTATTCATGTTTTCTTTAGATTTTTAGCCTTCATCCGACGATCACCTACAAAAACCACAAAAGACAAATAAAAATCGCAAATTTCATCAAACAGATTTCAAAAATTCTATTAATCTCTTACACTTATAAATTTATAAATTTAATACCAATGCAGTAAATTCAATTCTAAAATTTTCCCCCACAAGCAGTAAATCTAATTATGATGAAAATTTGTATCTTAATATTCCCCCATGACTAGCAGTAAATTTCTAAATTCTATGTAGTAAATTAAATAAATGCAAATGCAGTACTAACCTTTTGATATTTTCATTCATTCGCACAGAAATTCTATCCACACTCGCACAGCTCGCCCACGAAGAATTGTTTAAAATAATGAATTTCAGTTTCAAGTTTTCACACTCAACAACTCTAACATATAATAACATGTTTCAAACTTTCCTTTAACCCGGTTGGAAAGGAATCATATACTAAACAAAACTAACCAACGCAGCTTACTAAATACCACAAATCATAGAATAACAGCATGACTTAGAAAAAGAAACCAACGGTACCCAAACCGGATTAACCCAGTTTAAAACTGGATAATTTATTCTTTTGAAGACTATTATAAAGTCTAAGAAAGAAATAATAAAACACAAAAAAGTCGAAAGACAAACCCATACCACAAACAATTTGATTTTTGAAAAAAGGACACAACCAACAAAACATAAGTAAGACCACAACAAACTCAACATAAAACGTTGTCACATAACAGGACCCCTCACAAAAACCGCATGAAATCATACTCCCACTCCTGGCCTAACCCACCAGGAAGGACGTCCTGAGCATGCTCTATAGCCGGCCTAACCCACCGCGCTACATCCACGCTTTGTGACCACACCACTATTTTTAATAAGAGCTACTCAAGTGTGAGTAACTCTTCAAAATAACCGAACTAAAACAAAAAGCTTTTGTGAAAACAACTAACTAAAATCATTATTAAAAAATATTAAACTAATAAAAGTTTTATAAAATGTAAAATCACATGATGCAATATATAGATCAGAATACAACACCAAGGACGAACATCAAAAGACAAGACGACCCCACTACACTCGAGAGAGAATGACCAACTACAATCGATATGCCGCTCACAATCACAACTCAAAGGATTTAGAGTACGACTTGACCTCGCAGAAAAGGACTTCATTGAACTAGACCAATGACCACCTCGATGTTCAAGTATACGTACAGATCCGAGTAACCAGGCATCCCCTCCACGCACAATCTCCACGCCATTCCCAAACTAAATCAGACACAAAAGAAGTTCTCCACGAAGAACAGAAAAACCTGACATAGCAAACCATTCTGAAATCAGATTTGAGTTTGTTGCAAAGACTTAGTCGTTGTCACAAGAAGAACACAACGTCTTATGTCTCTAACTCCAACTTCCTGGAACTTCCCTAACAAAAGAGGAAACGGAAGAAAATTATGATGTTCGCCAAACACCAACGTCCATCATCCATCCTTCGAATTGCAGAAGAACTATTCTAAAAAACTCTGTAAAACCCGGATGGGTGGAACCTGATCTAAACTACATTTTATGATTGGATAAATTAAATGTTTTACCAATGTAAAGTATTTAATATTAACCAATCATGATCCATCTAACTAACAACCCACTTATTTGTAAGTGCTGAAGTTACTTGTAATTTCAGCACCAGAGAGATTTGAATTTAACTTAGAAATTAGTTGGACTCTCCCGAGCACTTCAGCAGCCGCAATAAACCAGTATACCCTAGATCTATTGAGCCTAGCAGAGACTAGTTAAACAACCTGAGACTAGATAGTATAAGAGTAAGATTAGGATCGGTATTAGACTAAGAAGTTGCACGAATCTATCCGGCCGAAAATAAGATAGCGTGACGAGCAGACGGTGTACCCTATCCGAAATTACTCTATGAGTTACACTTCGGTCCTAACTCACAACGCTTATAATGGACTAAAAATGCCTAAATTTTTGAAAAGCAACGTTTTTAGAGAAGAAAATCACTCCAATTTTGGCTCCAAAATGTCTGCAACTGCAAAATAAACAATTATTTTGGCGTCAAAACGTCTAAATTGAAAATTTTCTTGCTCAAAATCTTAAAAGTTTTTCTTAAGATTGTAAACGATCGCTGTTCAATTTTTGATTCCGCACTTAGTGGGTCTAGGACAACAAGCCGACGGGACTTCAAGCCGAAGGGATTTCAAGCCGAAATTAAAACTTTACAAGCTCCTCAAAACACTATTTTATCATCTGTAAAACGTTGTTTTTCAAAAATTTTGGCAAGTTTAGTCCATAATAAACGTTATTCATGACAATGCACCACTTGTGATTGGCATCCGTTAATAACATCAGCCCGTTTTTTGAAATCCATAAATCAAAAACATGAAAAATGCCTTCAACCATGTTTTACTTTTCAAATTTCCGAAGCCTCATTTGGAGGCTTAAATTTTGTGCACAACGCCAATAGCTTGTGAAGAAAGATTATGAAATTCAGAACTTCTTCAAAAAAATTTTCAAATTAATCATATTTCACGAGTTTATAGGAACTGTTCGGCTTGAACTCCCTAATTTTACGATTCGGCTTGAAGTCCCATCGGCTGGATGTCCGGAATCCGCACTTATTATGTTGTAATTTATTCAAACTTTCGGCACTGTTGAACAAAGTTTTCATTTTCGGCACTGTTGAACAAAGTTTTCATTTTCGGCACTGTTGAACAAAGTTTTCATTTTCGGCACTGTTGAACAAAGTTTTCATTTTCGGCACTGTTGTACTTCGGCACTGTTGTACTGCCCCTAATCAAAGTACTACAAATAATCTTGTATTGGGAATCCTTTGTTAGCAAAGTTTAATTTCAAGCGAGAAAAGCAAGAGAGTAGGTGTTTTAAAAGAAAGATTGTTTTTTTTTTGCTGCAGGAAAGCATGGTTCATAGCTTCGTTCCAAAGCTTTTGTCTTTCCTCTCATCTCACCACGTACAGCAAAGCAAAAGGCATGTTTTTGAAAAAGGAGTTTCGTTTAAGATTTTTTTGTACATGGTCGTACTTACTGTGCTACTTCCACAGCATCCGGGGCTATTCTCGTTTACTTTCAAAGCGCTTAAAAACATCGGACGGATTCCTATTTTGATATTTCCGTTCAAAGCTGTTAAGGTTGGATAACTTCTATCCTTCAAGCTGAGGGTGTCTTTGTTTCTAGAATGAATTTTGTCAAGTTATTAAGCAAATAGCTGAATGATAAGCATTGAAAAGTTAATAACGCATGAATATTGTGAGTGTGAGTTTTAGGATTCCGAAGTCTCAGCCCCCCACTGACAATAGTGCGCAAGGCAGCTGCGGCTCTGAGCGAGGGAGTGGTAGGGGGGACAGAGGATGATGTGCTGCCATCTGTGATGACTTGTGTGAACTACCTGAAGCTGCCCCAGTACTCCAGTGCCACAGTGATGCGACAGAGAATAGTGCAGGCCATCACGGAGGGACAGCACTCGTTCGACCTCTCCTGAACACCACCAGTTCAGTTCACTATCCATCCCTTGAGCCATCCCATGTAACGTCAGAGGACAAAAGAAAGGAAGCAGCAACAGAAAGGAACAACTCAACATGGTCTTGCATTCAACCGACAAAACATTTTTATTTTTTTTGAAACATCCATTCATAAATGATTTTGTCTCCTTCAAAAATGATAAAAACATGTTCAAATGCTTCATAAAATATCAAACTGTTATGCTGAAAAGCTGGATGGAATTATTTCGTAGTGAACCAGAAGTTAGATTTAAAAAAATTTGGCAGTTACTTGTTCATTTTGTCGCCGAATAACTAAATTGAATTGTAAATTTTATCCTTGTCTACTTTTGACTACAATCTACCCAGAAAAGAATAAGCCATAGTTGCTCCGACCACTCGAGATGTCTGTTATTGTTAATGTAATTCATATTATAGAGAAATGCAAACTTCACTATCCAACAAAAAACGTGTCGACTCAGATTTTCAAATTGTAAACAAATTGAAAAAATTACATCGTTTTTTACTCAGAAGCTGCAGTAGCTTGCTTTAAAAAACTGTTTTTGTTTCGCAGAGTATGCAGAAATATTTCACTTTAAGGAATACGTAAACATATTTCAAAGTTTCATTGCTTAACTAGCTGGATTAGAAACATTTAGAACATGCGCGAACAGATTCTATCTATTTGAAAAGTTGATATAATTAAACGTTTCATCGCAACAAGAGATATCTTGGGAAACCGAATTGATTCCAGCTCTGAATTCAATGCGATATATTTTATAGCCTAATTCATCAAAAATTTGCCTTAAAAATTTTTTTGCGAACCGATTCGCATAATTGAAATGCTAAAAGATTTTCAAAAGTTTATTGCCCAACATTTTGCTTGAGAAAAATTTAACTTTTTTTCTATATAGTTCAAATTTTGCTCAGTTGCTAGCTTTAAAAAAAACAGCTATTTAGCAAAACTATTCAAGTTGTATAAAGATTTAGTAATAGTTCAAAGTTTTTAGCTAAACAGCTTGAGTGGAAACTTAATATTTTGGAAATTTAGTTCTCGGTTCTAAAGTTTTTGACACATTTCACTGTAGCTGGCTTGGAAAAACCTACATTTTTGTCATTCGATTCACTTAAAAAAATTTCCTAGATCATCCATCGCTTAAATGGTGTGCTTAGAAAATCGTCAACCGATGTATGCTACAAAATAATCTAGAAAATCTAAAAAGTTAGAACATTTGAAAAAATTGGTTTGAAAATTTAAAACATCTTTCATCTGGTTCACAGTATGGATTAACGTCAAAACTTCAGTCGCTTGACTGGGCTGCAAAGAATAATTTTAACATTGCCTGAATCAGTTCACTGAGAAATAGCTGAAATTTGTCTTGCGTTACTTAGCAATTGTGTAATTGAGTCTTAATTGGCGCGTGTCGCTTAAAAAATTTTGCAAAGTTTTTTCGTTCAGATTTTTCATTAGCGTTATTGCTCATTTTTTGCTTATGTATGCGAAGTGTATCTTCGCCGCTGTGTAAAGTTAAGTTTTTAAGGTAACTAGGAGAAGAAGGTTGTTTCCCATTACTGTACGCTAACGAGAGAATTGAATTTACTTGTATTTGGGTACTCTGCGTTTTTCAGGCATGTTTACCCTTGCGATAAGCAAGGGTTTTGCAAAAGGGTACTAGACTTTTTTCTCGTAAACAATTTTGTCTTGACAAGTTTTTGACACATTTCACTGTAGCTGGCTTGGAAAAACCTACATTTTTGTCATTCGATTCACTTAAAAAAATTTCCTAGATCATCCATCGCTTAAATGGTGTGCTTAGAAAATCGTCAACCGATGTATGCTACAAAATAATCTAGAAAATCTAAAAAGTTAGAACATTTGAAAAAATTGGTTTGAAAATTTAAAACATCTTTCATCTGGTTCACAGTATGGATTAACGTCAAAACTTCAGTCGCTTGACTGGGCTGCAAAGAATAATTTTAACATTGCCTGAATCAGTTCACTGAGAAATAGCTGAAATTTGTCTTGCGTTACTTAGCAATTGTGTAATTGAGTCTTAATTGGCGCGTGTCGCTTAAAAAATTTTGCAAAGTTTTTTCGTTCAGATTTTTCATTAGCGTTATTGCTCATTTTTTGCTTATGTATGCGAAGTGTATCTTCGCCGCTGTGTAAAGTTAAGTTTTTAAGGTAACTAGGAGAAGAAGGTTGTTTCCCATTACTGTACGCTAACGAGAGAATTGAATTTACTTGTATTTGGGTACTCTGCGTTTTTCAGGAATGTTTACCCTTGCGATAAGCAAGGGTTTTGCAAAAGGGTACTAGACTTTTTTCTCGTAAACAATTTTGTCCACTGGGCTCATCTGGACTCGTGGTACCTTGGTTCATAAGGAAGACAAACTTTTTTAGTGCTGCATACTTAGCTTGGAGTTAACGAATACGCCTGAGATGGCAAGGTTTCGGGTTCGAATCTGACTAGGATCTGTTTTTTTTCAAAAGGTAAATGTTCCGGTTCGGAAAAAATTCGGCCTATTATTTGTCTGCTTATGTTTTGTCGGCTTAAGTGCCAGATCTAAGAATCGTTTTGCTTCTGAAACTAATTTTTTAAGCGTTTCTTTGCTTTAAGCATTTGAGCGTTTTAAAATTCCGACCAAATCGAAATATGTTTGCAAAACTGGTTGTATTTTAGCAACCCGATTAGCCTTTTTTCTTCTTTTTTTTGCTTTTTTTAATCGTTTGATTGAGTTTCCGCTAAATTATATCGATTTAGTGGCTTCTTACTGCATTGTTTGGGTTCGAGCAAAATTTGTGTGCGCGCCCAATCTCTGAGGGAAAAAAAGGACAAAAAATTTTTAATTTGGAATTTTAAAAATATTTTTCGGCAAGAAAGGTTTCTGCTCAGGTATTTTCGGCTCTTTTACCGCATGATAATTATAAATTAAAATTCAATCAACCATCCGGTGCAACTTGCCTAGAAGTGACACAACTGCTAGAGACAAATTTTTTTGACAAAAACGGTGTTTTGATTTTGTTCAAATTTTTCCGTTTGATATTAATCAAATTTGTATCACAAGTGCTGCTAAGCTCAGCTTCGCCTCTGTGTTAAGAACGTCGAGCTCAATCTTTTATTTTAGTTTTTTGACTTGTGATATCTTCTTAAGGTCATAAAGGCTAACTTAAAGCAAAACAAGTCAATAATCTGTCAAATCAGTTGCGAGCGTAGCGTATTACCGCACTTAACAGCAATTTTGGGCTCTTTTTCCTTTCCCCCCAGCCTCAAATAAGCGTCAATTTTATGGTGTAACGAGGCATTTTACAAGGTTAATTAAGAGGACCAAAAATGTTTGTCATGGCCTAATCATTTCGCATGCCAATTTTGGTAACATTCGGATAACGTGAACAAAACTTCACTTGTAAAATTTTGCAGGTGGGGGGGGGGAAGGAAAAAAAGCCCAATTTTGTCTTCGTAGGATTTTTGCTGCACAGCATTGGCAGTTCATTAGCATCTACAGCTGCATCATTGGTGGCTAGTTTAATCAAGAGCCCGTGGCTTGGCACAGATGAGAGAATGTGAGAGTTCAAAACGAAGTCGCTGGTTCCAATCCGACATATCAAACGTTTTACTTATTCGAATCTTCTATCTACTTTTCCTTTAATCATTTAACAGAGCTATCACCAACTTCACATATGTGTTTCGATGCGTGAATCAGCGTAATTAAGATGTTAATTTAGGTCGCGTCCTTTTTTTCCTACAAGTGTTATTTTGTTCACGCTCAAATTTGACTGATCGCGGTTTGACTTCGGTTTATTTAGTTTTAAGTTCAGTTCAATTCACTTTTGAGAAGGAAGGCAAACTCCCATATCGGCTTTTTCACAACCATGACAATAAAACGTGATCAGGTTCTAAACATCAAGATGCGATCGACTTGAAACAGAAAAAAGAAAATGTCCCATGCAACTGGTGAACTCCATGTAGCTGTTGCACATACAGAGAAAAGAAAATCTGAATAACTGAAACTTCATTGAAAAATTTTTAGAACTTGTCAAGGAAAACGTTTTTGCCAAGCCCTTGGACTTGATATCTGTTATTGTTAATGTAATTCATATTATAGAGAAATGCAAACTTCACTATCCAACAAAAAACGTGTCAACTCAGATTTTCAAATTGTAAACAAATTGAAAAAATTACATCGTTTTTTACTCAGAAGCTGCAGTATCTTGCTTTAAAAACTGTTTTTGTTTTGCAAAAACATATAGAACTTGAGTACGCAGAAATATTTCACTTTAAGGAATACGTAAACATATTTCAAAGTTTCATTGCTTAACTAGCTGGATTAGAAACATTTAGAACATGCGCGAACAGATTCTATCTATTTGAAAAGTTGATATAATTAAACGTTTCATCGCAACAAGAGATATCTTGGGAAACCGAATTGATTCCAGCTCTGAATTCAATGCGATATATTTTATAGCCTAATTCATCAAAAATTTGCCTTAAATTTTTTTTTGCGAACAGATTCACAGAATTGAAATGCTAAAATTTTTTCAAAAGTTTATTGCCCAACATTTTGCTTGAAAAAAAATTAACTTTAGTTCTATATAGTTCAAATTTTGCTCAGTTGCTAGCTTTAAAAAACAGCTATTTAGCAAAACGATTCATGTTGTATAAAGATTTTGGAATAGTTCAAATTTTTTAGCTAAACAGCTTGAGTGGAAACTGAATTTAGTTCGCGGTCTTAAAACTTGCGACACATTTCACTGTAGCTGGCTTGGAAAAGCCTACATTTTTGTCATTGGATTCACTTAAAAAAACAAAATTTCGCAGATCATCGATCGCTTAAATGGTGTGCTTAGAAAATCGTCAACCGATGTATGCTACAAAATAATCTAGAAAATCTAAAAAGTTAGAACATTTGAAAAAATTGGTTTGAAATTTTAAAACGTCCTCATCTGGTTCACTGTATGGATTAACGTCAAAACTTCAGTCGCTTGACTCGGCTGCTGAGAATAATTTTAACATTGCCTGAATCAGTTGACTGAGAAATAGCTGAACTTTGTCTTGCGTTACTTAGCCATTGTGTAATTGAGTCTTAATTGGCGCGCGTCGCTTAAGAAAATTTGCAAAGTTTTTTCATTCAATTTTTTCATTAGCGTTATCGCTCATTTTTTTGCTAATGTATGCGAAGTGTATCTTCGCCGCTGTGTAAAGTTAAGTTTTTAAGGTAACTAGGAGAAGAAGGTTGTTTACCATTACTGTACGCTAACGAGAGAATTGAATTTACTTGTATTTGGGACCTGTGCGTTTTTCAGGCATGTTAAACCTTGCGATAAGCAAGGGTTTTGCAATAGGGT